TCTAGTCTGCAAGACGTAATGAACTGTCTTCACTTGGTTGCAGGTGACCTTCCGAACTCTGTGACTTGTGTGCACCATATGTTTGGAACCAGGACTTTCCATGGCCGCTATGCTCACCCTTATTGATCACAGGCTGTAACTAGCATTTCATTGAAAGGAGCTGTTAAAATGTAGCCACATGAGAGTCTTTTGAGAGGAAGATCAACATCTACCCATCCTCGACTACAATAGGTCATTATAGTCATTTATAAAAAACTGATGGTTCACAGCCTAGTATATAGTAAAATCCTTTCCGGTTACCTTTATTTATTCTTGCAAAAAATTAAGTAGTAACTATCTCATAAGTTAATAAACCATTTATTGAGTGACATCAGTTAGAGGATTAGGGATGCACTATTAACTTATGTAGAATTTAGTTTTGGCTTCTCCAATCACGTAAAAAAGCGTCATTCAACGAAGAGTTACTTTTTTTCAACATCTTTTCTTCTATATTGTGTAATGGAGATTTTAAGACTATCTAGATGTTTCAAAAACCCAGTCAAGATGAAGGAACTAAATAGTTTTCTGCGTTGCCCCATCAACTTTGGAGTAGCAAAGATGCCCCTTTAAAGAGAATGCTTAGATCAACATGTATATCCAAAAATATATTAGGAGTTGCCAAGACACGGTCTAACCCATCCGAAAACCACAACACTTAAAAACCACGGATTGAATAACATTGGTCCTTTTCAATCAGATACTGGATTGCAGAGAAAGATCTACTAACGGGTTCATGCAGTCAACGATCTAGATCAAGAACTGCCTCATTTATTTGAAGAATAAATCTGAGAAATAGCAAAATAGCAATGTCATTAATCCAAGTCAGATCTACTCAAGAGCTTGAGAGTGACCAGAGATGCAGAACGTTGATTTGCAAGCAATCTGCGAAAATTAGCATTCAATTTTCTAAATGTCGAATGGTCAACAAGTTAACAAGAGACCCAAATTCTGGACAAAATTCTCATATATCAAGAAACTTCCGTGTCAGGTCCAGTTCTAAAACCTGACTAACCAAACTTATGGTCTGCTACCACATCTGAAGAGCACCTAAATTAATTCAAATCGGCAATCCTTGACAGCTGTCACAGACAGTCTATACTAACCAATAAACATTATAAGGAGCATAAAGAGCTGATGACCAATGAAGATATTATACTGATACGTGTTGATAAAGGAACCGGAATTTTACTCATGAACCTTGAGGCTAACAGTACTATCCATATTTACAAAACTAATCAACGAAAAGAATATGACAAAGTTAGCCGAGCAAAAATTGACGGACATTCTCCAAAAACTAAAGACTAAATCATTCATTAACATGGAGATTTTTGAATTCATGAGATCACTTGGCTTAAATACACCCTGGCTGTGTGGACTGCAGAAATAACACAAGAAAGGCATACCTCTTCAACGTATTCTTGACGTGACGAACTCACATTGTCATACCACTATCCAGTAGTTAGGACACCATCTTGGAAACAATCAGAAGGCAAGTCTGTTGTCACTCGCGTCAAGATTCTTTCGACTTTGTTAGTTCCACTGGAACCATCAAATGTTCAAAGCAAATCATGCTCTCCCCAGATTTAGTCTTATTATTTAAAAACGTCTCATTAACTGAAACATTATGCTGCATGTATGAATACACTGGTTCAAAGAGATTGAAGATTAGAATGTCTGCTTATTATCTAAAAGAACTGTTCAAATGAACACTTCAGCTGTGAATATATAGAGAAGATGGCATAGTTATGGGTTCACTGCTAGGCCCCATGCTTGTAGATTTCTTAATGTCGAAACTCGAAAACATATATTCAAAGAAAATGACCAAAAATTTAGGGTCTTACAAGATGTATGTGGATGATACTTTTATTATCTCCAGTAATGAAGAAAATTTGAAAGACATTCTAGATTTCTTCCATAGCTGCAGCCTGCAGTCCAGTTCTTATAAGGGAATGAGTCTGATTCAGAGAAATCCTTCCTGGTTCTTAACTCCGAAGATGTGACAGTGGAACAATGGAGAGATTCATCCACGGAAAGCCAATATGAAACAGACAGTATACAGATTTCTACAGATAGATGTCTTCACATACAAAATGGAACCTTATCCTCTCAGTTAGTCATAGAATCATAGAACTTATCACTCTAAAACAGGTTCCCACTAGGAACTTCTCTCCCGAACACTGAATCACGAAATCTGTGGAGCCTAAACCAGTAAACCCACACACATACTCTATCCCCAAAATGCTTTTCCGTCTAAATCTGCAACTCAGTATAGACAAATCAGATGAAAAACTAAGAAACCATTTGTCTCGTTTATGGGAGAAAACTCTCTCACCTGCACTTCTACTTACAATCTCTCTAAAAAATCAGCGATTCATATGAACGTGGAGAATAAGCTACCACTGCTGACCTCAGTAACGCTGGTCTATCGATCCACCTGCGCCTGTGCAGCCATGTATGTCTGTCGTACTAAGCGTTTGCTATCCGAAGTTATAATCAGAAATTTATCCTCATAGTTTCCGGGAGGAGAAGAAAGGTTCCCATGCGTCTATATTCTGGGCAGCTGATCATTACTGGACACCTGGAGAACTCTCAGATTAGCTTCAGGGTAGCCTACAGAGTACGTGGAAATCTAGCCAAAGGAGTACGAGACGAATCTTTTCGAACCTCAGAAGCTCAGGCAATCCACATGTTAAGTTCTGAAATCTTAATACAGGAGTTTGTTCAGCCACTAAACCCAAACTGTATCTGATCTATTTAAACATTTATTACTTAATTTTGGTCATTCCCAGTTTTTAATATTTATTGTATTATTTTTGTTCCATCTCCCTATTGCATTTTTTACTCCTCATGACACTGACCTTAACTTGACTGGCTTTCACTTTTAGTTGAAGTCTACTGAGTCCTGTCAATTATGTCGTGCCACTCAATTTTCTTGTTTTGTTTTATAGTTTCAACCCGACTAATTTTTTCTACATTACGTAGCTGCTGTCTAAAACTTGTATAGCTTGAAAATGATGTTGCTGAAAAGAGTGAATCTTTGCTGAATGTCTTTTTTATGACTTAACGGGGAATTTAAAGCTACCTTTTGAGCAACATTTTAACATGCGATTTCATTATTTCACTAAATGCTTTGAGGACTATTACGCTCATTTCCTTCGACTTTAAGTAATTCCCTCCTAGATTCGAACCTAGGACCTTCCGGTTACAAGGCAGGCTCGTATACCATTCAGCCACTTGTACTCGATTCAATGGCTCATGAATTCTAACTTTTACTAATTCGTTATTTAGCGCGACCCCCAGTGGGTGCGTACTACCGATAATTCCCTCTTAATTAAATGTGAATAATTACTGAAGTTTAGAGATGAACTTGAGAATTTTAACTGTTTCAAAACTCTCTGCAACTGAATCTGATGACAAAGATAACAGAGAATGACCTATAAAGCAGAAGTATGTATACTTTATGACCTGCACCTACTGACTTAAATAAAAACCAATTCTAAATATAACTACTGATGTAATAATTACGAATGATGCACCAGCTATGATTATTTGCAAAGATGTGCTGATTAAATCGTTGTCGAGAACATTAAATTCCGAAGTGAAAAAGAATATATTAATATCTAGAAGAGTGTAAGGTTACTATCTTAGAATTTACAGTTGTTGTAGAAATCAGACTGTTAGCCATCAGCAATGAAGGTAAATTACTGGGACACTTAAGTCGCTGCAGTTTAAAGGAGATTAATAATTACATTGTTAATGGTTTAAACAGGTTAGAAATTTTCACATTTTAGTAAGTCTTGCAGCATAAAAAGAGAGTTTTTCCAAACAGAAGTATGTATATACTGCACATAAAATTAAGCTTCATTTTAATTGTATAAGAAACTTTTTGTAATAAATTACAAGCTTCTTTTGTACTATTTTTCTCTTCTGATTCAGATAAACAGATTTTCATATACTGATGATCTGAGATGAAAATTCTCATCGAGAAATTTACTTTTCTTTTTTCAATTTTCCAACCTTTTGCGATTCAGGTTACCGAGCTTTTACTGTGCTAAGTAAGGAGGGAAAGTCAACCAGTGAGGTTGTGAAGCTCCATCTATTGGGATGACTCAGGTCCGTGAGACACAAGCTAACCCATGAGAAATGTCAGCTGAAATAGGAGCAAGTTCGGAAACAGTCAAAAATGATTAGACCAGAATGGGACATCACTCTCTACATTCTTTGGCTGTTGGCTTAAGGAAGATGTAGGCTGTCTGACTGGGATCGTCTGAAAGCTGAGAAGAGATGATTGTAGTAATTTATTGGCATTGATATATCTTCTGCATTTGTCATCCGGACTTCGAAAATTTCCACTAATTTTCCGGCTTTTCCCTCTTATCATTTTTAACTTCACCTCTTTGTTTACTTCTTCTAGGTGTGAAAACTCCAGGTGATGTACTTTTGTGCAAAGTTCTATGTTGATAAGTCAACCAGTCCGCTGTTAAGCTTTCATTGTTGTTCTGAGCACAAATCAGCATAAATTTCAAATTTATACTGAATGCTAAAATTCTTAGCCATAGCTTTGTCTAAAATAAGAAATAAAAGCTTTGTTATCAAGTAATCTAGGTCGTAGCAGGATACGAACCAGCGACCTTTGAATTACTAGTCCAGCTATCTACCAGCAGAGCTATGAAACCCAGCTACACAACTAAGGCATTATCTCAGCACGACAATCACAGGAGGATGACGTCTTTAGCAATCGGATCTCATGGGTCAGCTAATACAGTGCCAGACTAGCAGTCCGGTGTTCGCTAGTTCTGAATTCTCCTACGACACAGTTTTCAATGACATGTCCATTTATCACTGATTAAATCAGTAGTAACCTCCCTCCCCCACGCTATCTTAGGGAGGTTTTCATCAGTTTAGGATATTTATAAAGATAAAACAGAGCATTATTATACAGAAAATAATAGTCAACTTACTTTCATCTAAATAAGATTTAGCAGATGATACACTTGAGTCTGTAATACTTTTCTCTGGTTCATTATTAATTAAAGATTCTATTGTATAAATACAACGATTGCTTTTATGGTTCATCTTTTTTAAAAAGAGAATTTAAACAGGGTAATTTTGGTAGCTTCTAATATTACTATATTTGTATTATTATCTGACTTATTATAAAATAAAAATGGACAAGAATAAAATGTTCAATCGCTTATTTCTTATTTGCACAGAATTTATAATTCTACCGTAATGTCAAAAAATAAATTCTCGTGGTCAGAATTTCAGTGTACAATTAAGTTCACTTAAAGTAAATAAAGGGAAGTAAAGAAAGAAAATCTGTATACCGGCGAATAACTGATTCCCACGTAGGCGTTTGTTGATATGTTACTATGGTTTAAATTCGTTTGTTCCTTTTAATTTCCCAATGAGATAGACTACAGAGATTTCATTTTATGTTGAAGAATTAAGGGGGAAACTACTACTACGTAGACAGAAAAATAAGAATTAATGGTGACTATTCTGTCCCCCTCCCCTAGTAGCTTTACTGAACGGAATAGACAAATATTCATTTGCCTAGATTAACGTTACATAAGCCAATAGAAGATATAAATTAGTTGAAATTATACCTTTAATGAATTATAAGGTGAACACTTTCATACAGAATTAACAGTTAACGTTATCTTCCTTAATGACTGCTGAAAAGTCCTTCGAAGAAATGCGGTATGACTGTATGGAACATTGTTAAGATGTCTTAATCAGGAGAACCAACACAGGAAATTTAGAAACACAAGTATATAGCAAATCAACGCACACAGATCAAATACTCAACTATACTAGCAATAATCCAATTACTCACAAAAGAAACTGTGTGCATACATTGTTTAGAAGAGTTCAAACATATCGTAGCACTCCAGAGTTGAAAAGAGTGGAAGAAAAATACTTACAAACCGTCTTCAAGACGAATGGTTATCCACAAAATTTCATCTAAGTGTTTAAAGTCGAATCAAAACACTAACAAAGAACCATCATCAAAGACCGAAAGGAAATTTATCCTACCATACATAAGAAATATCTCTGAAATAACAGCTAGAATAATCAAACCATTTGATATAGATGTAGCACACAAACCAGTCGAATCGCTTAATTCGATCTTATGCAAACCAAAAGATCCAACAGAAAAAGGGGATAAAATTAATACCATTTACAAAATAAATTGTATGAACTGTAACAAGCATTACATCGGCCAAAGTGGGCGTCCCCTTCGGATAAGAATCCAAGAACACAAATCAGCCATGAAAAAATTTGATATAAATTCTTTAGTATCAATGCATACAGACGATTATAGACATCAATTTGATTGGGTTAATGTCGAAATCTTAGAAAGAGGAAACATCAAATGTGCCAGGGAATTCCTAGAAGCCTGGTACTCAAACGAAAGTGCAATTAACAAACACGTTAATATAGACGAAATATACCAACTAATAAAAAGTTAATCAGCTGACCAGAAAGTTTAAAATCCCAGTCAGTAGAAAATGATGAATACATATGTAAAGATGGTTACCGGGAGACGCAATTCTATTACTCATGGAAAACTTTAATCAGTTTACTTTATGCTGGAAATTGCGCTGAAGATGTTGTCCAGAAGGACGACGAAAGCTCCGCAACTAAACCAAGCAGCTCAGAGAACACTATTAATTGCAAAACTTACTACGAGTTTATAAGATTAATCAAGTCGACAGAAACTGTTAACGGTACGTAACTAAATATGCGTTGACTTTAATGGATGGAATTATAAGTAGTATTAGTAAACTTATCGGTGCATATCAGAAAATCATTCAAATCTTCTAAAGTCAAGAAAAGGGATTTGTACAACAAATAGTAGTATGATGCAAGAAGAGTTATAGAAATTACAGGATTTAGAATGAATAAAATAGAATGAAAACAGATTGGGCAGTGAGGTCTAGAATGTAACTCAAAATAACAAACATTATAAAATAATGTTGGAAAACCTGTTATAGTGAGACGTAGCTTGTGTTTACCTCATGATCATATTATTATCCCTAAAACTTTATTGATAGCTGACAAGTGGCTTCACTTAAAGAGAGAGACAGAGAGCTTCCATTCAGTCATAAGAAGTTAAAGATTAAAATACGGAGTCTAAAGTTACCCACAACATTAACTATATTACTATTTTTCAGTTGCAAAGGCAACACAACTGAACTTGATTTTGATAACTAAAATATTTGGTTTCTTGAAAAATTTCTTTATATTATTCGACATTATATGTGGTACCTGTGCATAGTACATACGAGTAGTAAGACGTCTCCTGGAAAAGCAGTGATAGTTGTTGCGTAAATGGATAAGTCCGTGAGGATGAAATGCCCAACAGAGGATTGTAATTCTGAAGGGAATCCAATGAGGGGCAAATAATGAAGGACAAAATCTCGGCATATCGTAATAAATTTGCTGTGTTTTGTCTATTTAATATTTTAAAGGACTTAGAAATCTCTACGAGATGTCCGGTATCAACAATACTTCTGGCAATCGCACTCTGAGAATATTTGCTTCCTTTCAGGCACAGGTTTCTTGAGATATGTTCAGAAAACCGGATAGGAGCCCTTCTTTCCGTCCTCCAAATGTACTTGCTTACGCAAGTGCACGTAAGTTCATAAACGCAGTTGGAGGTGACATCAGCAGGGTATTTATCCAGTTTTCAGTGGCTTATAAGCCGAAGCAATAGCAATCAAACGATTAAAACCAGACTTATACATACAGAAAGAGAGTGTGATTAACCTTTCTCTCCCTTGGTGACTGAATTTTGACTTTTGATTACAATAATTAGTCATCAAATTCAGTGATCTCCACTCATTGAACAAATCTTAATCTCACAAACTGTAACCGCCTTTGTTTTTGGGGTTGCTATGTGAACCTACAAGCTAACACTCTTCTGTTAATCAATTTTTTTCTGTTTTCTGTCTTACACCTCCCTCCTCTTTTCAACTTTAAAAGCATATAAATTGATGATGAAAACTTAAACCAAAAATTGTAATGCTTTCATTTTGGATGCGTCAGTTTTATAGTACGTCTTCTCTACTACCACACAAACATTAAAGTATGAAAGTTATCATTTATATAACCATTGTAATTTCAGGTAGTCTGCAGCTGATGAGAGCCAGTGAAATAGAATGATATCATTTTATACTGCAAATTTCGTCTTCCTTTCTTTATCGAAATCTAAAACTTATACGACGTAGACAAATATCTTCGATACTAGAATTGTTTTTTCAATGAAAACATTATCATATCATGGGCGAAATCTATTAATGCATTAAATTTTAGTCAAATTATGAATTATGTGTCCAAGATGAACTTGATCGAAGATTCGTCATGCTCTTGAGTTATCTGAAGACAAACAACTGTTTACGTCTTTTGCTGTCAATTGGTCATTTTTTTATGAGAACGTATTACAAACTGTCTGAACTTAAACTCTTCATTCGGAGAAGTTAGATATGGTGGCTTAAAAGCAAACAAAGTGACACTGATAAACCCACAGTCAGAAGTTCAGTGATAAATGAAGTATGGTGAACAAGTTTTAAAGCACAATGAAATATTCAGTTGACGTCTAATCTTTCATAGTCTATCATATAATTATTATATTTAAATCTAAAGTCTATTAAGGAAGAAAATGATAAATTCTTTAGCATATTATTTATGAAATAAGATACTATTTCTTCATGAATCTTCTTAATTCACGTGGAGAGTTCAGTGATATTGTTCACATTAGACCTTACAATAAATATGAGACGGAGTTCTTAGCTAACATTGTTTTTGATCACCAGTTATTGTCGAAAAGTAGTTGATTCGACGACGTAAGCATTATTTTTTTGTACGCTTTTTAAGTAAACTTATTTCGTGACAAATCTTATCGCAAGAAATGTATATTAGCTTAGTTTTCCGATTTTTATTTGTAAACTCTGATTTCAAGTCCGTTCTCGGTATAAACCACAGTGCCCCTCCTAAGAAAGGAAAATTAAAATGCTTTTACTGAGTCTTCACAGAATTTATTATTATTGTTGAGTGGGACAAAAAGTATAGCTAATTATTTGGTCTCTTTAGTCATTCTACAAGAATCTAATTCTCTGGACATATGTCTTCTTTAAGCTTATGATGTTGTAGTTTATCTGTCCATCTCCTTTCCAATCACTTAAACTGTAGAGATTGTTCTCGAGAAAGAATTTTCAGGATTTTTGGTTAACATGGCTAATTTTTTCTTTTTCTTTTCAAATAATAAATCCTTTGTTGTTTGATTAATATGAATGGTATCTGGCTAAGTTTACATCTCTGTACTTGGTTTTTTGTTGCAAGGGTTGTTGTTCGTTTGTTAATATATCCTTGGTGATGTAGAATTTTTTTTTGTTATATGTTTCATGAAAGTATGCGTTTTCTATAAGATAAATTCCTTGTCTTTGGATCGTTTGAGTTGTAAATTTATATCGCTAATTCGCTTTTCATAACTGGTAGATAAGTAGTATATCGACCCACATGTAAATTTCAGGCCTTAACAAATTCGAGTGCTTATTTTGTAAAAGTGGGTTCAATAATTTCACAGTTCTTCCAGGAGAAGCAGTAATCTCTGTGGTGATTGAAAATATCTATCTCTGTATGGTTTAAATACTTACTGTTGTTTGTTAATATATTTATTGTATGAATTGAAAATAATTCCGCCAAATACAAATTACTAAATTCATCCCTCTGTGTGTTGTCGGTTGATTTCCTTTAATTCGGTCATTACGAAATACAAATACTACTGTAACAACATAAGACAAGAGCCGGCAACAGATCTTTTCATTACGGAAATCAGCACGTATTTGTATATATTTCATGTACATGATTATAGCTTATTCAAGCAGACAAGGACAGACTTCTGATTGGTTGTTTCTGGTTTCACGGAAAGATAAGCCATATATTTGCGAATATTATTTGCCCATGTTAAGTCAGCTATGATTGGTTGTTGAATCAGCCTTGTTCATATTTTCTCACGGCCAATATTGGTGACATAGACACTGACGTAAATTAATGTCTACCAATTGGCTAGGAGCATGAAATCAACACAATACAACTAAAATTATATATAACAATTTGGCGTCGACATGGAATCATATAATCTTCGAAGGTTTCCTATAAATGGTTCACCGCGAGAAATCACCCATTATTTTGAATG